ACCAGATCAGGGGTGAGTTCCAGATCCCGTCGCAACCGGTACACTGCGATGGGGCCGGGTGCCCACCTCGTACACACGCACAGCGCACGCCACTGCCCTGCAACACTCCAGCTGCTCAGCGGAGATCGCGCAGGTGCCGTACACTGCGCGTGTGTGCGCAAACACCCTGGTTGGTTTTAAATCAGGTAAGGAATGAAGGGTGGGCAGGTGGGCCCACCATAACACCGTTCTGGTACAGTGGCTGCTGCTCCCAGCTGCCACCGTTACCCCCCTACCGGGGTGCACACCCCTGGAACCCACCACTAGATCAGATGTGGCAGATCATTTATTGGCACCCCTTGCTGGGACACAAACTATTGTTCTCTTTGTGCTTAGGTGATGTACAGTCTTTGACTTACAACAGTTTTTTTGTGGCCATTCAAAGTTACAACAGCATTGAAAAAAGTTACTTATAGTAAAACTTTCCAGGCTAAGGGATTCACCAGGAATGTCGAGAAGGAGAGTTCTGTAGGTCAGGGGTCTCCAACCCACCAGTCTGTGGGCCGGCAGTAGTCCACGGCATGCCAGAAACCAGGATGTGTAAACATGCGCAGCCCATCCGCGGATTGAAGGCAGCACGTAAAACTATGCCCCCTTGGGTCCACAGATAATCCTCTGTCCACAGAACTGGTCCTCACTGCCTTTCTTCTGCTCACGGATGTTATTTTGATTTTTCCAGGTTCCACCCGCCCTCCATTCTTGGCACCATGGGAAGCGCTGCAGCCACCGCAAAGCTCTTGGGCCTCGACCAACGCAAGTGCAAGGAAGCCCTGGCAGTAGCCGCCTCTTATGCCGGTGCCCCACTGGCCAACGCAGCCACGCAGACCAAACCGCTTCATATGGGCAACGCCAGTCGACACGGTGTGGAAGCGGCTCTCCTGGCCTCTCTGGGCCTGCAAGCCAGCAAGCGGATTCTGGACCTCGAGTCAGGCTTTGGGGCCTTTTACATGGATTACCTACCTCAGACATTGCCCAGCCTCCAGTCCTACTCTTGGTTGCTGGACCAACAAGACGTAGCCTTCAAGAGCTTCCCGGCGCATCTGGGGACACACTGGATGGCCGAAGCTGCCCTGGCGGTAAGGAAGCATCTTGCCCGGAGTGGGGAACCTCTGCCCACTACCCGCATCAAGGCCATCGTGCTTGATGTCCCCAGTATTAAATATGTCGATCGGCCATTTCCTTCTTCCGAACACGAAGCCAGGCACTCCTTCCAGTTTGCCGCCTGCGCAGCGCTGCTGGATGGCTTCATCTCAGTCGAATCCTTCACGCCGCAGAGACTGTCCAGGCCGGAGTTGAATGACCTCCTCCAAAAAACCAGCCTGGAGCATTCTCCGGATAACCTCCCCAGCTTCAACAGCCTTTACTGCGGAGTCAAAATCATCCTCCAGGATGGAGACACCTGGGCAGAGCGTTGCGAAACCTTCTATGGGCACTGGAGGAAGCCCCTGAGCCGCGAGGATTTGGTGAAGAAGTTCCATGCCAATGCCGCTGCCGCGGTCTCCCCAGAAGTGGCCGAAAGCATCGTGGACACGGTTGATAAGCTGGAATCCCTGGACGACTGCGGGGAGCTATTCTCACTTCTTCGAGGAGCTGAGCTGACAAAAGATTTGCGGCAACGCAAGAGGGAAACTTTGTGAGATCTACCTGGTCCCAGAAGGACCTTCCTGGCCTGCACTTCATGGTCAGCTATGACCCAGCTTCATTGATTCCTATCTAACCTTAGTACCTCGACTTACAACACTTCATTTAGTGACCGTTGAAAGTTACAACAGACTGAAAAACGTGACATGACAATTTGTCAGAGTTACCTTTGCAGCATCCCCATGATCATGCATCCAAAATCCAGGCGCTTGGCAACTGTTTCATACTTGCGACTATTGCTGTGTCCTGGGTCTCTGTGTGTGTCCCCGCTTTTGCGACCCTCTGACAAGTCAATGGGGAAGCCAGATTAACAACCGTGTTACTAATTTAAGGACCTGGTTTGCCCTTAGGGCCATTTTTTGCCCTCCAGAGCATTCAGGAGGGCAAAAAACAGCCGAAAAAGAAGGCCAAAGTCAGCTGGCCAGCCCATGCAGGCGCACTGGAGCTGGGAAGGCAACACCTCATGTACACTAACAAATAGCTCCATGTGCCACCCCTGGCACATGTGCCATAGGTTCACCATCATGGGGCTAGAGAATAGAAGCCAAAACGAGAAATAAAAGTTGTAAAAGTTATTAATTATAATATGAAGAAAAATGTATGTATGTAAAATTTGATGACATGCATTATACTATTAGATTACAATGTAATTATTACATTAGCATATAGAATGGTTAAAATCTACGAGAAGGCAATAATCGAACAGTAAACTACAAAAGCAGATTAAGCATGCTGATACGGGAAGGTGTAAAATTATATTATATTGTTATGCTGTTTGTGTTTTTATCTGTTTGTATTTGTGTTTGTATTTTTCTTGGTTTTTTTCCTTTTCCTTTTTTAGTTTTTTTTTTTTTAAACTTGAAAAGGTTCAATAAAAACTATTAAAAAAAAGAATGGCGGCTTTTCTTTTAAATATCCTGCAAGAAGAACCACTTTCATCTGGATCCTTCTCATTTATTTCTGAGCTCTTTCTATAAGCTCGTTCTAGAAAGCAACAGACCCCGAGCTCAACAGACCCCTGAAAGTCAGACTGGCTTTGGGCCAGTCACTCTCTGGGAGTCCAATCCACAGACAGGGTTGGTGGTTAGGGGGCAAATTGGAGGAGGAGGAAGGTCTATTGGATACACTTGCCTCCTTGAGTTTATTGTACAACTGATTAAGGTGGGACATAAATGAATGAATGAATGAATCAAAGAAAATAACATGCTCTAGGGGAAACAGGCATGAAGCCACCCATCCATCCATCCATAAAAAAATAAATAGAATAGAATAAAATACAAAACAATATATTAAAACAAAACAAAATAAAGTAAATAAAATA